TTGATCATACGAACCCAGAAGTAGTAGAAGAAAATGATTTTAAATGTAACTTTATGAAGATGATGGAAACCTATAAAGAGGAAATAAAAAACTCCCTGAAAGAAATGGAGGAAAAGACAAGCAAAAACTGGAAGAAATTAATAAATTCCTCAAAGAAACCCAAGAAAAACAATCAAGCAGGTGAAGAAAACAGTTCAAGACTTGAAGACTGAAATGCAGGCAATAAAGAAAATTAAAAAAGGAAATTCGGGATATGGAAAATCTAGGTAAATGAACAGGAACTATAGAGGTAAGTATAACCAAGAGAATGCAAGAGATGGAAGAGAGAATTTCAGGCATTAAAAATACTACAGAGAAAATCAATTCATTGGTCAAAGAAAACATTAAATCCAACAAATTCTTAACACAAAACGTCCAGGAAATCTGGGACACCATAAAAAGACCAAACCTAAGACTAATAGGGATAGAAGGAGAAGAACTCCAGCTCAAAGGCTCAGGAAATATATTCAACAAAATCATAGCAGAATGTTGTGGAAGGAGCGCGGGGCCCCTTTGTTCCATCCCGCCTGGATGGCCTAGCCCCAAAATAAACACATGGAAATTGTATTGATTAAAACACTGCCTGGTCCATTATCTCTATCCTCTTATTGGATAACTCTCACATCTTGATTAACCCATTTCTATTAAATCTGTGTATCACCATGTGACTGTGGCTTACTGGCAAGATTCTAACCTACGTCCACCTCAGGCCGGAGATTCATGGCATCTGCCACAATTCCCTTCTTCCCAGCATTCTGTTCTGTCTACACTGCCTGCTTAAGGGCTGCTCTACCAAAAAGGCCAAGGCAGTCATTTTATTCAATCAATGAAAGAAACACACAAACAGAAGAACCTCCTACACCAGAAGAAAACATTCCCAACCTAAAGAAGGATATCCCTATGAATGTACAAGAAGCTTACAGAACACCAAATAGACTATATTTTTAAAAAGTCCCCTTTCCATATAATAAAAACACAAAATAGAGAATAAAAAAATAATTTTAAGAGTTTCAAAGGGTAAAGGTCAAGTAACATATAAAGGTAGACCTATCAGAATTACTCCCGACTTCTCAATGAAAACCATGAAAGCCAGATGTGCTGCAGACACTAAAAGGCCAAACATGCAAGCCCAGAATACTATACCCAGCAAAGATTCCAATCATCATCAATGGAGAAAACAAGATCTCCCTTGACAAAACCAGATTTAAACAATATATACCCACAAACCCAGCCCTTTAAGAAGTACTAGAAGGAAAATCCCAAGCCAAGGAAGCTAACTGCACCCAAAAAAAAAAAAAAACCACAGGCAACAGATAACCTCCTATCAGCAAAATCCAAAGAAGGGAAACACACAACCACTACCACCAAAAAAAAAAAATACAGAAATTAACAACCACTGGTCATTAATATTTCTTAACATCAATGGAGTCAATTTACCTATAAGAAGACACAGGCTAGAGAATGGATATGAAAACAGGATCCAGCCTTCTGCTGTATACAAGAAACCCACCTCAACCTCAAAGATAGACATTATTATCTCAGAGTAAAGGGTTGGGAAAAGGTTTCCCAATCAAATGGACCTAAGAAACAAGTGAGTGTAGTTATCCTAATATCTAACAAAATAGATTTCAAATTAAAATCAATCAGAAAAGATAGAGGAGGACACTTTATACGCATCACAGGAAAAATCCATCAAGATGAAGTCTCAATCCTGAACATCTGTACCCCTAATAGAAGAGCATCCACATATGCAAAAGAATTGTTACTAAAGCTTAAATCACACATCAAACCCCACACACTAATAGTAGGAGACTTCAACACTCCACTCTAGCCAATGGACAGGTCAACCAGACAACCTTAACAGAGAAATAAGAGAACTAACAGATATAACTCAAGTGGACTTGACAGACATATATAGAACATTCCACCCAAACACAAAAGAATATACCCTTTGTCTCAGCACCTCATGGAACCTTCTCTAAAATCAACCACATACTTGGTAACAAAACAAACCTCCACAGATACAAAAAAAATTGGAGTAACACCCTGTATCTTATCAAATCACCAAGATTTAAAGTGAGAATTTAACAACAACACTACTCTCAGAAAGTCTACAAACTCATGGAAATTGAACAGTGAACTATTGAACCACCAGAAAGAAATTAAAGACTTCCTAGAATTCAATGGAAATGAAGGCACAACATACCCAAACCTATGGAACACTATGAAAGCAGTGCTAAAAGGCAAGTTCATAGCACTAAGTGGCCACATAAAGAAAATGGAGAAAGTTCACATTCGAGACTTAACAGCACACCTGAAAGCTCTAGAACAAAAAAGAAGCAGAGTCACCCAAGAGGAGTAGAAGACAGGAAATAATCAAATTGAGGACTGAAAACAATAAAAGAGAAACAAAGAAAACAATACAAAGAATCAATGAGACAAATATCTGGTTCTTTGAGGAAATCAACAAGATAGACAAACCTATATCAAAACTAATCAAAAGGCAGAGAGAACATCCAAATTAACAAAATCAGAACTGAAAAGGGGGACGTAACAACAGACACCGAGGAAGTCAAGAGAATCATTAGGTCATACTACAAAAAAAAAACTGTACTTTATAAAATTGGAAAACATAAAAGAAATGAACAGTTTTCTCAATAGATACCAGATACTAAAATTAAATCAAGAGCAGGTGAATAATTTAAATAGACCTATAAACTGCAAGGAAATAGAAGCTGTCATCAAAGGCCTCTCAACCAATAAAGCCTAGGGCCAGATGGTTTTCGTGTAGAATTTTACCAAATCTTCCAAGCAGAGCTAATACCTATATGCTTCAAAGTGTTTCACATAATAGAAACAGAAGGAACATTTCTAAACTCTTTTTATGAGGCTACAGTTACCCTGAAATTGAAACCACACAAAGACTCAAACAAGAAAGAGAATTACAGACCAGTCTCACTCATGAACACTGATGCAAAAATACTCAATAAAACGCTGGCAAACAGAATCCAAGAACACATAAAAAAAAATCATCCACCATGATCAAGTCGGCTTCGTCCCAGAGATGCAGGGATGGTTCAACATATGAAAATCTATCAATATAATCCATCATATAAATAAACTGAAAGAAGAAAAACATGATCATCTCAATAAATGCTGAAAAAGCATTCGACAAAATTCAACACCTCTTCATGAGAAATGTCTTGGAGAGAGCAGGGATACAAAGAACATATCTAAACATAATAAAAGCAATATATAACAAGTCGACAGTCAACATCAAATTAAATAGAGAGAAACTCATAGCTATTCCACTAAAACCAGGAATAAGACAAGGCTGTCTACTCTCTCTGTATCTATTCAACATAGTTCTTGAAGTTCTTGCTCTAGTAATAACAAAAGAAGATCAAGGGAATTCAAATTGCAAAGGAAGAAGTCAAACTTTCATTATTTGCAGATGATATGATAGTATCATAACTCCAAAACTCTACCAGGGAACTCCTACAGCTGATAAATACCTTCAGTAATGTGTCAGGATACAAGAGCAACTCAAAAAAATCAGTAGCCCTCCTATATACAAATGATAAAGAAGCTGAGAAAGAAATCAAAGAAATATCACCTTTCACAATAGCCACAAATACCATAAAATATCTTGGGGTAACACTAACCAAAGAAGTGAAAGACCTATTGGTGTGGGAAGTCTTTCTGTAATATGTGTTGCTTTTATTGGTTAATGAATAAAGAAGCTGTGTTGGTCTGTGATAGGGCAGAGTTGAGTTAGGCGGGGGGAAACTAAACTGAATGCTGGAAGAAAAAAGGCAGAGCCACAAGAGAAGCCATGTAGCCCTGCCAGAGATAGATTCCGGATGGAACTTTATCCAGTAAGCCACAGCCACATGGTGATACTGATTAATGGAAATGGGTTAACCAAGGATATAAGAGCTAGCTAACAATATGTTTAAGTGATTGGTCAAGCAGTGATTTAAATAATATAGTTTCTGTGTGATTATTTCAGGTCTGGGTGTCCAGGAATGAACATGCGGCATCCCCCAAAAACCTATTTGACAAAAACTTTCAGCCTTTGAAGAAAGAAATTGAAGAAGATACCAGAAAATGGAAAGATCTCCCATGTTCTTGGATGGGTAGGATCAACATAATAAAAATGGCAATCCTACCAAAAGCAATCTATATATTCAATGCAATCCCCATCAAAATCCCAAAACAATTCTTCACAGACCTTGAAAAAACAATAATCAACTTCATATGGAAAAATAAAAAACCCAGCCAAAACAATCCTGTACAATAAAGGAACTTCCAGAGGCATCACCATCCCTGACATCAAGCTCTATTACAGAGTTACAGTAATGAAAACAGCTTGGTATTGGCATAAAAACAGAGAGATTGAACAACAGAATCAAATTAAAGACTGGGATATTAATCCATACACCTATGAACACCTGATTTTTAACAAAGAAGCTAAAATTACACGATGGAAAAAAGAAATCATCTTCAACAAATGGTGCTGGCATAACTGGATATCAACATATAGAAGAATGAAAAGAGATCCATATCTATTCCCATGCACAAAACTCAAGTCCAAGTGGATTAAAGACCTTAAGATAAATCTGACCACAATGAACCTGATAGAAGAGAAAATGGAAAGTAACCTTCAATACATGGGCACAGGAGACCTCTTCCTAAATGCAACACCAGTAGCACAGACACTGAGAGCAACAATAAATAAATGGAACCTTCTAAAACTGAGAAGCTTTTGTAAACCAAAGGACACAGTCAATAAGACAAAAAGGCAGCCTACTGAATGGGAAAAGATATTCACCAACCCCACATCCGATAGAGGACAGATCTCCAAAATACTTAAAGAACTCAAGAAATTAGATATCAAAATTCCAAATGATCCAATTAAAAATGGGGTACAGAGTCCTCTCCTAAGCTACGTGTCTTTGCCTCCTCAAACCGCCGTCCCGCAATCAGCCATGGATCAGGTAATGCAATTTGTTGAGCCAAGTCGGCAGTTCGTAAAGGACTCAATTCGGCTGGTTAAAAGATGCACCAAGCCCGACAGAAAAGAATTCCAGAAGATTGCCATGGCCACAGCCATAGGATTTGCTATCATGGGATTCACTGGCTTCTTTGTGAAACTGATCCATATCCCTATTAATAACATTATTGTGAGTGGCTGAGTGATTTCTCTTCGCGGGAACTAGGAGCAAATGAGGGTATGAGAAGCTTATGAAGTAAAAAGTTGCCTGTATACTTTGTGTTTTTCTTTCCTTTTCCCCTCCCCAAGAGGTTTTGTATTTCTAAACTAAAACAATTTTAAAATAAACATTCTTTCCCATGATAAAAAATAAAAATAAAAATGGGGTACAGAATTAAACAGAGAATTTTCAACAGAAGAATCTCAAATGACTGAAAGACACTTAGGGAAATGTTCAACATCCTTAGCCATCAGGGAAATGCAAATCAAAATGACTCTGAGATATCAGCTTACACAAGAATGGCTAAGATCAAAAATACCCATGACAGCATATGCTGGAGAGGATGTGAAGAAAGGATAATACTCCTGCACTGCTGGTGGGAATGCAAACTTATACAACCACTCAGCAAATCAGTATGGCAGTTTCTCAGAAAAATGGGAATCAACCTATCTCAGGACCCAACAACACCACTCTTGGGCATATACCCAAAAGATGCTCACTACTACAAGAACATTTGCTCAACTACGTTTGTAACAGCATTATTTGTAATAACCAGAACCTGCAAACAACTTAGATGCTTCTCAACAGAAGAATGGATAAAGAAAATGTGGTATATTTACATATTGGAGTACTACTCAGTGGTTAAAAACAATGACATCTTGAAATTTGCAAGCAAATGGATAGAACTAGGGAAAAAAAAAATCCTGAGTGAGGTTATCCAGATCCAGAAAGATGAACATGGAATGTACTCACTCATAAGTGGATAGTAGCTATAAACAAAGGATATTGAGCCTATAGTTCATGATCTGAGAGATGCTAAGTAACAAGGTGAACCCTAAGAAAAACATATATAGATCCACCTGGAAAGTTGAAATAGACAAGATCACCTGACAAAACCGGAAACAAAGGGGGTGGAGGAGAGAAGGAAGGAAAGAGGAGGGGAGAAGAGGAGGGTGTAACATGAGGGCCTGCTTGTTGGGGTTTCTGTCCTGCCCAGTTCCCACAGCTCGTAAACCCCAAAGAAAATACACAGAAGTCTATATTAATGATCAAATTGATTGACCCATTAGCTCAGGCTTCATATTAACTTTTATAACTTACATTAACCCCATTATTCTTTTCTATGTTAGCCACATGGCTTCGTACCTTTTTCAGTGGGGCAGGTCACATCCTGTTTCTTCAGTGTCTGGACAGGACTAAGGAAAGAGCTTCCTTCTTCCCAGAATACTCCTGTTCTCATTGCCCCACCTCTACTTCCTGTCTGGTTGTCCTGCCTATACTTCCTGCCTTGCTACTGGCCAATCAGCGTTTATTTAAAACATAATTGACAGAATATAGACAATTCTCCCACACCAGGAGAGGGAGGAGAACTTGAGGGAACTGGAGATGGAAGAAGGACAGAGATAAAAGCAAGGAAAGTGATATCTTCATTGAAGAAGCCATTAATGGGCTAGCAAGAAATCTGGCTCTAGAGAAATTCCCAGAAATCTGCAAGGATGACTCCAGTTAAGACCCTAAGCAATAGAGGAATAGGGTGCCTGAACTGGCCTTGCCCTGTAGTCAGACTGATGAATATCTTAAATGTCACCATAAAACCTTCATCCAGCAACTGATGGAAACAGAGGCAGAGACCCACATTAGAGTACTAATTTGAGCTCAAAATTCAATTGAAAAGTGGGAGGAGTGAGATTATGAGCAAAGAGGTCAAGACCATGATGGGTACTGTCGCGCCAGCATGGCAACTGTCGTTCTTCTGAGCGAGGGACGTCGGGATTAACACGCAACACAACTTCAGGTTCTGCAGACAAGCCTTTATTCCACTTTCTCACACAGTATATATAGCCCTCAGCAGGGGAGGTCAAGACAGCAAAAGGCAGGAAGCTCATCACCGTAACTCAATGGCTTAGGGGTAAACATCCTTAGAAACATTGCTGAAAACAACAGGTTGTTCCTGTTTTTGTTCCTGTTTTCAACCAAGTGCAATAGTGCAAAGCAGATCAAGTAGGGGTGCGAAGGCCTGTCCTCTAGGGACCCAACAGGTACAACCCACTAAAACAGTTTATTTGAGCTAATAGGAGCTCACCAACACCAGTCGGACTTGGAAGGAACAAGCATAGGACCAAACTAGTCCCTCTGAATGGGGTTGACAGCTGCATGGCTGGGGAAGACTGAGAGGCCACTGGCAGTGGTACCAGGATTTATTCCTACTGCTTGTACTGGCTTTTTGGGAACCTATTCTTTTTGGATGGATACCTTGCTCAGCCTAGATATAGAGGGGAGGGCCTTAGACCTTCCTCCAAACAATGTGCCTTAACCACTCTGAGGAATGGATGGGGGTGGGGTAGGGAGGAAAGTGAAGGGAATGGGAGGAGGGGAGGGAGTGTGAACTTGAATTGGTACATATAATGAAAAAAGGATAGTTCGTTTTCTTTAAAAAAAAAAAAGAAAAAGAAAAAAAACTGCTGGGTACCGCATCTCTCCTGTGGCTCATCTTGACAGGACCCTCACCTGAGCCTGAGATGTTCAGAATCTTAAGGAGCTGGAAATTACAGTGAGGTGTCACTTGCCAACAAGGATACCTTCTGAGAAGTGTGTCATTCAGCAATTTCATCACTGTGGGAACATCACCAAGTATACACACACAAACCTGCATGGCCCAGGTCAATCCCTCTACGTGGCCTCTTGATGCGATCAAGACACAGTAAGCACAAGATGTGTGGAACTACTGCTGACCCAACGCCACCCACTATTTTTTTAACAGTAAACTTTTTAAATAAGGAATGCAATCTCAACAGCCACAGAAAAAGGATAGTATGGTGGATGCACAAGCCAGAAACATAGACACTTGCTATCATAATCAAGGGCCCTGAGTTGTTCATAAAGGTAGATGTTCTCAGGCGGAGGCAGCGTATTTGTTGATGCCTACATTACCCACAACATGAAAGCAATGGATCATGCTACAGCATGCAGTGCTGATGCTACCAGGTAGAAGGATGTCCCAGCCTTACTATGATCTTATATATGGTCTTATAATCCCCTACAACATCTCTGTATATGTGGCTCATTATTGGCCAAAAGTCATGCCACACAGGCCTATGCGTGCGAAGACCATAAGTTTGCCCTTTTTATTATGTTTCATGGGCGATGTGCAGGTAGCAAGTGAAGCCCTGAGTTAAGGTGTATAGTTTGACATGGGCACAGCCATGTTAAGGACCCAAGAGAGTGGCAAAGCCTTCCTCAGGTGAGGCACAGATAAGTGGCAAAGCTTTTCTGAGTGTGAATGTTCACACCGTGTGAAGAAAATGTCATTGCAGTTTTCTCCCACCGGGATAGTTATAAACTGAAGACCGTTCCCCTACCGAGACTCCTTACCCATATTAGCTAAACCTGCCTCCTTGTTCAACCCTGGCTCCTTGGTTATCTGTATGTAATAACCCTGCCTTCTTGTTAAGCTGCATAGAACAGTGGTTCTCAATCTATGGAGTCATGATCCCTTTGGGATCAAAAGACCCTTTCACGGAGGTCAAATATCAGACATCCTACATATCAGATATTTACATTATGACTCATAACAGTAGCAGAATTATGGTTATGAAGTAGCAATGAAAATAATTTTAAGATTGGGGGAGGTCACCACAACATAAGGAACTGTATTAAAGTGTCATAGCATGAAGAAGTGTGAAAACTGCTGGTGTAGAATAAACACATCGAGCTTCCAGGGTGTTGAGACTTCTCCATCAGAGAGTCCAGTCCACCCAATCCCAGCTCCTCTGTGTCCTTGTGACTGTTCTTTCTTTATTCCTTCACTGCTCCTAGTCGGTTTTCCGGGACACAAACTGTGTAACGAACGATGCGGCAACAGTGCCTGTCTGGAAGTCAGGGGACAACTGTGGAGTCAGTTATTTCCTTCCGTGATGCAGTTGTGAGGATCAGACTAGGAGGCAAGCACTGTAACCTGCTGAGCCTTCTCACTGGCCCACGGCTACCTTTTTAAAGGAGCATGTAGCAAGGAATGCAAGGTCCCATTTTGCAGGGACCTCAGACCCAACACTGCCATTCCTGCCTCTGCCCCTCCTGACACCCACCTCTAGCCACACACTAACATCTCTCCTTCCATGTCTCCTCTCCACAGTGGTAGTCAGGATGATAGGGGTGCCACCGCTCTAGGGGCTCATATGGCTGTGTATTTTGATTAGTCCGAGCCCACACTCACCAAGCACCTATTTTAGATGTCATCTATTTCAAATATCACCCTTGCCTGCTTCCACATTTCCTGTGATGGCTCATCCGGTTGTTCCTATACAGAGAAACTCGAACATCGAAAAATGTCCTCCAAAGCTTTGCTCACAGTCTTCTCTTCTACAATGGCTTTTCTTTGTGGGTCTGGTCCTTCCCCATCCTCTAGGTTGCTGGTCAAGCGTTCTTTCCTCCTGGAAGTCTCTTACCATAACCCACAGTGTTTGCCTGCATATTCTAACTCCTAAAAGTCCTTAATGTCTGCACTGGTCCTTTTCAAGCTGGAGGATGTGTATCACTGGAGGGCATACATCACTGGAGGGTCATGTAAATCAATTCAATGGTTCATAATGAATATTTTTTAACAAAACAGAGTACAAGATATCAGAATATATTGCCAGCAATAAATATTAATCGCAGCATGCCCATATTCAAATATGTGTGTTACATACTAATACAGTGGAAAATATATTCATAACTATGAGTTGAAAAACAATGGGTCTCAAAGGCCTGTACCATAAACAGCATCATGAACCTGTAGTCTGCCTAACTGATCCGCCAAAAGAGAGAATCGGAGATAGAGCTGCCACAGACGGCCTGGGTGAAGAAACTGAAAATGGTTACACACCATTGAAACTGCCCACTTTTCTGCAGAACTGCAGGGATGGTAAGTGGATAAGGGCAGGGACTTCTCTCTCCCTACCACCTAGAACCAAACAGCAAGAGCAAAAAGAAAAAAAAATAAG